CGAAGAAGGTCGGTCGGCCTGAGCCGATCGGCTCCCATCGCAGTGGACGCTCGCTGCCGTCTGAGCCCACGGCGCACGTCGCACGCCGTAAGCGGTGGCAGGCCACGTTCCTGGACGCGTCGCCGTATGGCCTCGAAGAGGTCAGCCAGGCCAGCCCTGTCGGGGGCCCTCGGCGCCCACAGCGACGTCCAGGAGCTGACCTTCCGATCTATCAAGTCGCGTGGGTGGACGATGGTGCCCTGCTCAGTGGAGACGGACTCTGCAGGCTGCGGCTGTGGCCGCAGAGATCGATGCAGCGCTCCGATGGCAGGCTCCGTGACGGCCCACTCGCGGAAGTCGTGGAGTGACTTCCTGACTGCCCGCTGTTGTGCGCGACGCGCGACAGCAGCGGCCTTGCTGGCGTAGGAGACGACCTCGATGTCGGCGGCGGTGCGGATACGGCCGAGGATGTCGACCCACTGCTCCCACCGTGCACCGTCCCGTGGTCGAAGGTGGCCTGGTACCTGACTGGGTACGTCGGCCGTGAGCTTGTCGACACACGCGTAGAGCTGGTCCAGCTGCCGCTGCCCGTTGCCCCGCGCCTTGTGACGGTAGATGTTCTGAAGGATGGTGTGCAATCTGGTCCACCACGAGCTGCTGAGATCTCGGAGTGCTGCACACCTCTTACTCTGCTGTTCACGAACGGGTACCACTCTGAACTCGGGACCTGCAGCGCGCGATCCGCCGAGGAAGACCTGACTGTGGTGCGCGTGGACGGTGGCCTCAACAGTGGCCGCCCAGGAGCCGCAAAGCTGCCCGAGCTGACACGAAACGTCAGGCTTGAGCGAAAAGGCAACGGACGAGGCAGCAGCAGCGGCAGGCCGAGTGGAGTGGGGGGGCAGAAGACCAATCTGAAAACGGTGTTCCGTCCACAATTCACTCGGGATATCGAAGCTAGGCTGCTGGGTGCTACCTGTGCTGGCCGACTCCGCCCCCTGGGATTCAGCAGGTCTGCGGGGGTTCTCACACTGGGCTGAGTGAGACGAAGCGACGTCGATGCGGGCAGGCTCGGGAGGAGGGGAGGAGGCGAGGGCCGACGGTTGGTCTTTCTCATCGCACGGCGCCTGGACTGGGTTGGCCAGCGGCTCGCGACGACACTGAAAAACACTTTCGTCGATCCACGGGTCCTCCTCGGATTCGAAACCATCCTGGGACTCGCGGTCTGACGGATCATCAGCACAAGTGGACTGGCCATCGAGCTCAGGGTTGGCAGTGACCGTCCACAAATCTCCGACAAGGGCAGAGTGAAGTTTATCTTTACGCTCGGCTGCCTTTGCAGCCTGCTCGGCCTTCTTGGCTCTCGCTACGCTAGACTTGGAGCCTGGGGTGGGAGCCTGGGCAGGACGAGTGACACTCGGAAGCCGCCTGGGAAGGTCAACAATGCGAGTGATCAGCTGTTCACCCTCAGCGACGAAACGAATTCTTAACGCGAGATGCGGCTTCCACGGCACGTCGTGGACCGCCGTGACCTGAGAGACATATGCACGAGCAGCTGCGCAGTGCACAACAAAGTCCAAATGCGATGGCTTACGCCCTCCCCCAGGGTCGCAAGTGTGCTCGACGTCGGCACATCTGATCTCACCTCCTACTTGCTGCAAAAACCCCGAGGCCGTGAGGGCCTGTGGCGAAATGTTCCAGTCCCCGACCACGGCCCAGGGAAGTTGGAGGGACCTCAAAAGACTGCCGAGCCGTCTAAATCTGACGAGGTTTGGGCCAGTGAGGCCTATACTACAAAACCCATAGAAAAAAAATCACTACTATTGAGTAGCCACTGAAGTGCAGCACTACAGGCAGAAAGCCATCTACGCTGGTGGACGGCTTGGCCTGCAGCGCTGCGGATTGGATGCCCTCGTGGAGCACGTGCGTCTGCAAGTGACCCTTGGCCAGAAACCACTCGCCCCCCTCGTTGGCATGTCCTGCGGACGATTCGGACGAATCACCTGTCCACCCATCAGGATGCCCATGCCGCGATGGCCGCGCTGGGTTGGCTATCAGCTTCATGCACTCCTTTCTCGCCCGAGACTGCCAGCTGCCCACATCAGCTGCAGAGATGTGCGTCTCGACGAGCCCGATGTAGTCGTCCTGTCGACTACTGATGTACTCCCAGCACTTGTCGCCCATGCAGGTGACGTTGCCGTAGAGCAAGGTACTTGTACGGGTACTGTTGCTGCCAGCGACGGCAGCCTCGGGGCCAGGAGCCCCGTCTTGCCGAAGATCTCCATCTAGTCAATGCGAGGCGGCACGAGCCTGGCTGCCGCCGCCCCTGCCGTCCTTGCCCTTGCCGAGCGCCGTCTGGGCCGCGAAACGTGCCGCCGACAGCCGCGCCGCCTCGGTCTTCAGCGCCCCCTCCTCGGCCGCGGCTGCGGCTGACGCCGCGGCGCCGCCGCCGTCGGCAGCTGCGGGGCCCGCTCCTGGGCTCGCACTGCCGCCCTGGGCGCCCGTGCGCTCGCCCTCGCCAGCAGCAGGTGGCGTGGCCTGGCCGTCGCCGCCCTTGCGCTTCTTCTTGAGCCGCTCCTCCTGTGCCTTGCGGACCGTGCGGGCCCTCTCGATCAGCGCCTTGACCTGCGGCTCCTTCGTGTCGAACTGCTTCTTCAGCTCCTCGAGGGCTGCCTTGACCCGCTCGAGCTCGGCCTTCTCGCCCTCGGCGAAGTCGAGGTCGGCCGCCTCGGCGAAGAGGTCCTGGTCCCAGGACACGGTGAAGGCGGCCTGGCCGTCGTGCTGCGCGACGCCACCGCCCTCGGGCCCTTGAACCCCCTCGGCCTTGGCCAGCGCCTCAGCCGTTTTCTTCTTCATCGCCTCCGTCTTGGCCACCTGCAGAGCGGCCTCGGCCTCCTGGGCCTCAGCCGCTGCCAAGCTGGCACGGAGCTTGATCACATTATTCACAATCTGCGTGTGCCGATTGACTGCAGCGCGCCAGGCGCCATCGGCCTGCCGCATGCTCTCGACGACCGATCCACGGGGTGGTCCTTCATCAGCGACGGCGTCGAGGCGCGCGAGCTGCGCCTGCAGGACGCCCTTGATCTGTGGATCGTCTGCGGCGGCGACGGCCTGCCGCAAGTGTACGGCGAGGGGGTCGTCACTGCCATGGTTGCCGCTGCGGTCACCACGCGCGCGGGGGCCGCCTCGGCCGCCTCCGCGCTGGCTGGTGTTCCCGTCGATCGAGATGACCTCGGCGTGCTCGTTGATGCGCACCACACTGGGCGATCGAGAGCGGCCTCGATGAAGGCGCATGGGCCGACTGCAGCGAGGGCACTGCGGCTGATCTGGGTCGAGCCGATCGTTGTACTCGCATGCGTGGCAGGCCTTGCATCGGCTCCACAGCCTGGTCGAGCGACGGGCAACAGGAACTGTCATGAGCCCCAGCTCTGGTTGACCCCAAGAGCGAAAGACTGGTCTCGCTGCGGGGAAATCCCTCAAGCACCACGTGAAGGTACTGGGGCAGCTCAGGTGGTGCAAAATGCGCCTGAGCCGAAGTGGCTTGAGAGGAGGAGGGAGGAGGAGGGGAGGAGGAAGAGGAGGGGGAGGGGGAGGAGGAGAGGAGGAGGGGGGGAGGGGGGAGGAGGAGGGGGAGGGGAGGAGGGGGAGGAGGAGGAGGTAGGATGAGGAGGAGGAGGAGGAGAGGAGGAGGAGGGAGGAGGAGGAGGAGAGGAGGGAGGAGGAGGAGGAGGAGGAGGAGGAGGGAGGAGGAGGAGGAGGAGGAGGAGGGGGAGAGAGGAGGAGGAGGAGGAGGAGGAGGAGGAGGAGGAGGAGGAGGAGGAGGAGGAGGAGGACCAGAGTGAACCAAGGATGCAGCAACGATGCTGCAGGACACCCGGCTCTTCCAATTCCCCATCCCAGGAGCCCCTATAAGCGTTTCGCTTCACTGCGGAAAGCCCCTTGAAAGACGAGGTCCCCATGGGCCGACCATTCAGGTGAGAGCCTCGTTTTGCATCGTAGCCGCCGTTCATCCTTCGATAGGTGGCCGCATGCGAACCCTACCCCTACCCCCCACGATTTCCGAGGGGGAGGGTGGGGTTCACTGTGCTCGGGAGCTCCCAAACGAAGTGAACCCCACCCTCCCCCTCAGAAATCGTTGGGGGGGGTAGGGGTAGGGTTCGCATGTGCCCCCCTACTAGAGGCCTCCTAGATCCGAGAGGATGGGGTCGAAGGATCTCGGATGCATTGGCGATGCATCGCCGATGTATCGGCGATGCGTCGGCGATGCACCAGCAACGCGTCGGTGATGCATCGGCGGCGTCGGCGTAGGGAAGCACGGGCTCCACATCGAGCCGCATCGTCGATGCATCGGCGATGCGGAGCGATCCTTCGACCCCATCTACTCGGAGCCCATCTGGGAGGCCTAACATCTCCTGACCCGGGTCAATCCAGACCTGGGTCAGTCAGGCCTTGCAGAGTGCTGCAAGATGCTGCAACATCCTGCACCCAAGCCTGGGCCAACGCGAAGGATTATGCAAGATCCTGCAGAATCCTGCGCCCAAGCCAGGGTCAATGCGGCCCTGGCCCTGCAGGATCCTGCAAGATCTGGCGCTCTGGCTGACCCCCGTTTGCATTGACCCCCGTCTCAAGGCCCCCGAAAGCGGGTCAAAGACAAACTTTCGGAGCTTCACGCGGATTTTCTCGGATCGGCGCGGCGCCTTTAGCGCCGCCGCACCTGGCGCGCCCCGCGCGCCAGGAAAGCGGACCTGGCGCCAATCCACACATCCGCGCGGAACTCCACAAGTTCGAGCTCATGCCCATCTGCTCCCCTCCAGCAAACGACGACGACGGCGACGGCGACGGCGACGGCGACGGCGACGGCGACGGCGACGGCGACGACGACGACGGCGACGACGACGACGACGACGACGACGACGACGACGACGACGACGACGACGACGACGACGACGACGACGACGGCGGCGGCGGCGGCGGCGGCGGCGGCGGCGGCGGCGGCGGCGGCGACGACGACGGCCCAGCGGGGCCTGTGGGGGCGGCCTGGCCAGCGTACGCCGCGCGGGGGGCCCAGCACGGCGTGGCGGCCTCCGGCGTGGGCGGGAAGAGGATGCCTCCGGGGGGCGTCGCGGGCGCGCCCCGCTGGGGCTGCTCTGATGCCCTGCCTCTGCTGCTGCTGCTGCTGCTGCTGCTGCTGCTGCTGCTGCTGCTGCTGCTGCTGCTGCTGCTGCTGCTGCTGCTGCTGCTGCTGTGGGCTCCTCCGCTCGCCCCGTGGGCTGTTCCCGCTGCTGCTGCTCCTCTGTCCTCGCCAGCACCGTATCTCCATCGTCACCCACACTGTTCCTGCCATCGCTCTTTCACACCCTCTCTCTCTCTCTCTCTTCACATGTCCCTCCCCCCTCACTTTCCCCCTCCCCCTCCCCCTCCTTCTCTCTCTCTCTCTCTCTCATTTTCTCTCCCACTCCTGCTCTCCCTCCATCTTTCCCTCTCACTCCTTCTCTCTCTCTCTCTCTCTCTCTCCTATCTCTCCTATCTCTCCTATCTCTCTCTCGCTCTCTCTCTCGCTTTCTCTCTCTCCTTCTCTCTCTCTCTACATATATATATATATATATATATATGTTTGAGTCTCTAGTCTCGGTTCGAGGGTCCTCGACTCAGTGCGCAGCCAAGACACGAAACCTCCCGCGCCCTTCAGCCTGGTAAGACCGTAAGCGTGCCACTCGTACGAAACCGACTCGTGACACATGCCTTTCAGCATATGCGCGCGCCATGGCCCCAAAAGGCACTCGCCGTGAGCGGACCAATCCTCAGCAGCCCAAGCCACCAGGCAAGGGCTGCCAAAGGGTTCCCTAACCAGATAGCAGCCTCTCCCGCAAGGAAGCCTGTGCCGTCGCACTCCGGATCAGTGGCGGCGTCGACCTGCCAGACAGTGACAGACAGACAGACAGACAGTCCCGCAGAAGGCACCTACGCGGGTGCAGCGGGTGGGCGCCGGGGCGCCGATGTTGGCCGCTCAGTGCATGCAACAACCAACTCGCTCGTGAGCACCAGACCGAGCACGACACCATGTCCCGACAACATCGCTCCATTCATCACACGCTCGGGGTCGAACTGATGAAACCGGGTGGGGAAAACAAGATTCGGCGGTGGACAAACCTCCATTTAGTAAACCTCCCCTTAGTGAAAACGGCCTGGGACCGAAACCGACGGACCTGGACCCGCAAAATGACGGCCGCGACGCCCTCTCGCGAACCGAAAACGGCCAAGTCGCTAACCGACGTGTCAGGGTAGGAGGTCTATCCTCCGAAAGATCAACTACACCGTGCTGCGCTACTGCCTGACGCACAACACAGGCGCCAGCCGTGCTTCACCAGGGTCCACGGCCTCGGCCGACGCCCCCCAGGGGCAACGGTGCCGGCCCACTCGTCAGCCCGGATGCACACAACTGGGGTGTCCTCACTACTCGTGCCCCCAAGAAGGATGAGGACTGCTAGCGCAGCATGGCGCAGTTGATCTTGTTTTCTCCACACAGTTTCATCAGTTCGCCCCCGTGCTTGTGATGAAAGGAGCGATGTCCTTGGTACATGGTGTCGTGTTCGATTTGGTGCTTACGAGCGAGTTAGTTGTATGCAGTGGCTGGCAGGCCGACGCCCAGTCACTGCATACAACTGGGATGTCCTCATTGCTCATGCCCCCAAGAAGGATGAGAACTGCACATCGCACACCTGCAGCATCTCTCCTCACACGCTAAGGAAGATGGAAACCAGCGCAAGTAGCACCCCTGCGGACAGGATCAGCCCTTCGCGCTAGCCGTCTTGGGACCAACCAGCACTGCCAAGGAACAAAAAGTCAAAATCCCTGTCCATCGTAGGACTGCTAAGGCTACCAAACCCATGCCAGACAAGTAAGGCGATCCGTCCGTCACAGACATCGAACCATTTAGCAACGTGGCCACACAGATGCCAAGTGCCAGCAGAGTGTCATCAAAGTGCCCCTAAACCCAGGAGGCGACGTGATCTGGGTCCTTGGAGCTATCTGCGAAACTGACACTGTTGCCATCACGCCAGCACTGCAGGAACTATTCACCTCCCAGTTCTTTGGAGCAGTTTCCATCAGCGGCACGCGCCAGCCAGGAGGACCAGGCACGACACATCAGAGGACCAAAGAGCGCCATAAGACGGCAAAGCGTGACCAAGCACGCGGACAGCTCGATGACGGCCTCACCTAGCGGGCAAACGCAGGCTCAAGGCGACGATTGGCATCGAACCGACGGGCGTCCCAATCGTCTTGGCATCACCAGGCCAAGGGGGTACCCAATTGGACATCAACAACCGTGGCACCAAAGGCCCTGCGCCCAGTGAAAACATCACGGTACGGTACCAAAACGGCCAACCGATCACACTCCAACAGGCCCGCCAGGCCTCCGAACGGTTCAGTGCCTTCGGAGCCACTCGTCGCGCCGACGAGCGAGTAGACATCGGCGTGGAGCCCCACGCGAGCGATGCCAAGCAAGTCGCCTTCGAGCTCAGAGGAACCGACGCGGCACCTGCGATTGCAAAGCACCGAGTGAATGGCATCGAGGCCCAACGAGCGACTGAAACACAAATCACCAGAGTCCTTCCATCCATCCGATGGCACTGCGAAGTCCAGCACACGGGATGGGACAAAGCCACCAGGAGGGACTTTACCATCGTCAAGGCGGCCACACACCCGCTCAATACCACCGTTCACGTCCAATAGGGGGACAAAAAGTCACATAAACATAAAAACTCGGAGGTCCGCGCGGATTTCTCGGATCGGCGCTGGACCCCCCTCCCTGGCGCGCGGAGCGCGCCAGGGGCGGCGCCGGAGGCGCCGCCGGGGGGCCCCAGCGCCGATCCGAGAAATCCGCGCGGACCTTCGAGTTTCTATGTTTGTGCCCCTCTTTGTTCCCCGATCCAAGGACCCACCACCCCCTGGACCACCACTCGGGTGAGGCCAGCAACCCTGACCTTCCAAGAGGGCTAAAAAATAGCACGCGACTGAAAAACCTATCCCAAAGCTATTCTACGTCTTGGTTTTAGGCTGTTTCGCTCAGTGTTTTAGGTTTTTAGGCCTCCAGTGCTAAAAAATAGCTCTCTGGGAGGTCAGGGAAGGCGGACCCACCGAGAACACCGGCGAAGAAGAGCCTCTCTGGCCGGAGACCGCCGGCTCCGCGGCGCCCCCGCCGGGGCCCCCACGCCCAGGCGCCGGCACCGCGTCTCGACGCTCCGGGGCGGGGCGGCCACCGGGCCGCCCCCGCCCAGCGCTGCGGGGACGCCACCGTCGAAGCAGCAGAGGGGCGCGGCGCGCCTCGGCGCGGCGCCCCTGGAGCTGGCCATCGCTCGGACGTCCATTCCCCGTATTTGTGTTTGGTTTCGTGCGTGGCTTTTTCGCCAAATGATCGAGGATGCTCCTCCTCCTCCTCCTCCTCCTCCTCCTCCTCCTCCTCCTCCTCCTCCTCCTCCTCCCCGTCCTCCTCCTCGCCGAGGATAAGACGCACACGTCCGAGCGATGCCCAGGGACGGGGCGGCCACCGGGCCGCACCCGCCCAGCGCTGCGGGGACGCCACCTGTCGAAGCAGCAGAGGGGCACGCCGCGCCTCGGCGCGGCGCCTCTGTGAGGAGAAGGAGCGCGGCAGCAGCGCAGAGAGGACCAGGGGAGGGGAAGGAGGAGGAGGAGGAGGAGGAGGAGGCGGAGGGGGAGGAGGAGGAGGAGGAGGAGGAGGAGGAGGAGGAGGAGGAGGAGGAGGAGGAGGAGGAGGAGGAGGAGGAGGAGGGGGAGGAGGAGGAGGAGGACTCAGCAAAGCCAGGCAGGCTGTTGAACCGCCATCGGGCGCAGCAGAGCCTCGCAGCGCAACGACCCCCCCAGACCTTCCTGACGACGAGGACTGCGTCGTGGCGGAAGGAGCCGTAAGATGCAAGGGCGCTGATACCCCGCCTCTGCCCCTCAAGGGGAAGCAAGCGCCACCAGGCTACGACGAGGACTCTGACCAGGAGTGGCTATACGGGATCTCTCAGACCAGGCGGACGGCCGCCTCCACGGCCTGGAAGCGGACCAACTGAGGCTTGTCGACAAAGTACAGCGATTCGAAAACACTGTGACCAGCGCAGCCACCAGCCAAGCAACACTGGCCCAACAGTGCCACCAGCTGGACCAAGAGATCGCCAGTGTCCAAAGCGAATACATGAGCCTTAACACAGACCTGGAAACCGTCATGGCACAGATAGAGCCAGTAGACACACAAACTCAGGCCCAAACAGCGCCAACAGCACCAGCCACCCTTACCCCCATACCGAACACCTCAGAGCAAAGGAATGAAAGTAACATCACGAGGAGTGACCACGGGCAACACGCAGAGCCTGAAGAGGGAGAGGGACCGAGCTACGATCACGTAGCCATGTCACCACACCGCGCGCGCCCTGAGCCACCTCCAGGCCCATACTAAAGAAACCTCGATGGGCCCCCCCTTGCCCAATCGAGACAATACTGACCGAGGGATTGTTGTCCCCCCTTACAACATTCCCCAGGGGCAGAAAGAACGGGTCTGCCATGGCACGGAGATTGCTATGAGCTTTAGCTCTCACACAGTTAAAGATGTCATGGGGGCGCTTGCGTATGCACATAGTTCTGCGCTAACCCGCAAAGGGAGGCTCCTTGGCATGTGGCTCAAAAACGTTCATACCGCTCTGCGCGCACCAGCGAACGCGCTCTCCGCACAACCGCCATCATGTGCCTGTGGCCCACGAGAGCCGTGTCCACGCACAGTCTCTCCTCTGTGGCCTCATCCTAAGCGACTCAGGACTAGGGGCACTATCCCCGAAGACGATGCTGTTAGAACCGAGCATGTCTTCGGAGTGACCATGGCTAGCAACGTGACCTTCTCTTTCAGCTGCGCTGGCGACACGCAGCACCAAGCGGCATCTTATGCATCGTCCAAGGTCACCGCTGACCCGACGATCAACACGGACAATGAAAGCCCGCCAGGGTGCCACTTCACTGCCGACACAGCAGACAGCAGTGACGACCCACCAGGACATCTCGCTAAGCCGAATAGCGCTCAGCTCTAGTATAGCGCACGCCCGATGACATGGGA